CGGCCCGGCCTCAGGCGGTGACATGGGGATTAAGAAAAAGTTTAACTACAGACAACCATCCACCCGTGTTTCATCATGAAATAAAAATAGCTGAAGTAATAAGTGTTTATTAAGACTGAACATTATTCATAATCTATAACTGATGAAAGTATTTCCATCTCGACTGTCACATTTCCGATATGGAGATGTGAGTCACTTCTGCTGAAGCCTGCATCCTATGCTGATAAGAAGAGTTAAAATAAATAAGCAAATACTAATGGTTTACCTTTATATAATGATCCTTTGAACCAGTGACAATAAGATCTTGTCCATTGGAAATTCGATCTACAGTAAGGCACATAACAGGACCTTGGTGACCAGTTAGCTTCCCTGTAGACTGAAATCTTCAAGGATAAGAGAAGAAATGAGGATTTGTTATTTTTTCATATATCCAATACAGTCTATACCACAGTTTCTGCCAGAATGGATCTTTTTATTTTCCCCTATATCTTCACTACTCATCCTCTGGTTTACATACACTGTATTTCTCATACCCATGGGTAAATGTTAAATCTATGTTAAATGGAAACAAAAAACTTCTATTATGTGAAATTAGAATTAAAAATTTGAAAGTAAAGACAAATCAGACCCCTCAAAGTATTCTCTGTATTTTGAATGCACTCTTTAGGTGGAGGTTCTGTTTGAAAAAGTGCTATTATAGTGTGGCTATCATAGCCCCATATTGTATTACATTACACTACCTGGCTTGCATCACCTCCTCAGCAATTACTCGTTAGGATTCATGCATCTGTCGCCTTACAAGAGTCAGTTTTATTAGTGCCTGTCAAACAAAACCTTGTGTTTTTCCAATTATTTTTACTGAAATGATTCACTATAACCTTAACACATGAGGAAATCAGGAGCACCTCCATTATCTCAGTATCCACTAGAGCATGGATTAGTTGACCCATATCTTGACCATATTTTGCCCAGGTTATGGACATTACCATAAACAGGAAACAATTAATTGACTGTTTTATATGCACTGACTTTGTTTCATATGCATATGTAACCACCTAAAGAACATTCCCTTCTGCTGGTGTTCAGTACCTTTTCAGGTCCCACATCCTCACGGAGTTTCCAGCAGCTGCATAGAGGAATGTGCCAGTTGGATTTAGTGCAATCTGATTGATCTGGTTCTCTCCAGCTGGGATAGTGACTGTTCTGTTAGTACTTCCTGAACACACATCACCAGGCATCGCTTGGCCTGAAGACCTGAGTACAGGGAGGAGGGACACAAACACACAAAAAAAAAAAGAAAAATCCTACATTTTGCTCTCCTTACTTTGCCTACTGTTAAAAACAAGCCTATTTACCCAGGCAAAAAGGCTATCAGCCAATTATGAATACTGAACATTTGTTAAAACATTATAGGCATGAATGCAAATTGTTTTACATTTCCATATATCACCAGTGCCCCATACTGACTTAGCCTGAAAATGTAAAGAAAGCTTCCAGCCCCAACAAACAGTGTACTTAAGTTACGCTGTGCTGCACTACTGAATTAAGTCTAGTTTATCTAAAATTAAGACTCATTTGAACTCATGGCATTTGAGGTTTAGCATACTTACGTCAATGTCCGAATACACTTAGCAGAATCTCTGATGTCCCACACCTTAATATAGGAGGTTGAGACTGTGAAGACCAGGCTAGTGTAGTTGCAATATTTTATAGAAACAACATTATTTGGATGACCCCCTAGAGACATAATCTCTTGTCCAGTTACCAGATTCCAGACTTTACAGGTACGATCTAAATAAAGATAAGCAAAAAGGGGAAAAACATAATTAAAAAAATTTAAAAAACCCAAAACAACAAAGTCAAAACCCAGAAAATACTCATGTATTTCCAAAGATCAGTAATTTTTAAAAAGTATATGTGTTCATTTGCACTCATACATATCCCTCCATTTAGGTAGGCACCACAGAAAAACAGCTAAATCAAATAGGTTTTAAAGAATACACATGGGCATCATCTACAATCATCAAAACTAAGCAAGGTTAATCATTAAATGTTGTGCCTTCAAGGGCTGCATATTAGATCCCATAGCATTTTAAAAGGACAAAATCCTATCTCAAGGGAAGTGAGAAGTAAAGATACAAACAGTTTAGAGGCTGTATAGTTTGGATGATGACAGGTCAAGAGAACCCAATTTTTAATACAAGAATTCTTCATCAAGAACATAGTCCAGGAAAGGTTTTGAGGCTCAGCATGACAGAGTACTGACTGCCACAAAAAAACTACAAAGGTGAGAAGTGATACAAACTAGTCAGTGCTTTAGGAGCCTCTGAAAAGCCCAGTATAAGTGCTTCACAGTTTTCATTCAGTAGCAAAGGAATTTAAATATTGCAACTTTTTGTGTACTAAAATCCCAAATACATAGACATTTTCAAGAATTTTGCAACGCAATTGGAGAGCAGAGGAAACTCTCCTTGTTGTACCATGTCTGTTATCATTGCATATATTTTAGAAGTACATTTTTACTGGAATAAGTACTGGGAGGATGAAGAGAAAAATTCATGTGTAGACACTAGCAACAATAACATGAAGAAAGTAAGTATACCAGAACTGTCAAACCACTTTAAAAATACCAGCTATCAAGACGAAAGCCCAATATCTGCAATGCATCTGAGAGCTTACTGGCA